TGAAATCAGTCTATAAGTGGAATAAAAACCATAATCTGCAGTATTGCCAAAGAAAATAAAATTTTGGGTATCCATAATGAAGGTTCAAATGGTGGTCACTTGGGCAGTAATTCAACTACCAGTGTTTTTCTACTTTTCTCCTTTTTAGCTGTTATATAAAGAACTATATAAATAGAAAGCTTAATATCTATATTTTGCAAAGTCTCTGTTTCAGGAACCTTAAATATCTAAAAAATTGCAAATATTGTTAGGAATAAATTCCGTGGAAACAGATTCACATATGCAGAGATATGTACAAAAGACTCCTCTGTGTTCTTTTAATGTACTGGTCACTGTTTTAAAATGTTTGTTTGTTGTTTGAAATTTTTATCTAGAAGATCTCTGCATATTTGTTTCAAAACTGTTAAAATTGGCTGCCTCTGCTAGTCCTTAAGCCTTCCTGCTCTGGTGTGTCTGCTTTGCCTTGACTGCCTGCACACCTTCACTGCTTCATATGTGCTTTTGTTGGCTTGGCACAGTCACATCCCAAACTTCCCCAATTGTTTTTATCTTTATAACTCATCTGCTGGTTCTTCCAGTGTGGAGATCTTTTGTGGGGAAGCCTAAGCAGGCTCCACCAGCCTGCCAAGAGAAGGTGTGGGTGTCTGGTGCCACATGCATGAGCTTTCACATCTGGCTTCTAGTTCAAACACTTATTGGGGGTAAATTACAGCTCTGACGTTCAGGCTTTCTTCCAACGCTTCTAGGAAAACGATATAGCCAAAAAGTTGTGTGGGAACAGAAACTGCTTGATTCTATCCACTTCTCTGAAAGATCCAACTATTCTAACATGCTGTAGTGACCTACCTTTTTCTGCATAATTATAATCTCCCCAAAAATAACCTTCTTTCCCTCTTAAAAACGACCTTGAACTCTAGAATACTTTTTTCTGGCCTGTTTTATTTTTCTTAATTAGCAGCTAATGAAATCACCGTGCAGTTTTATAATTATTTATCACCTGAGGGAGATCCCACTTTATTCAATGAAGGTATTTTAGGGAACTTCTGACCTTTCTGTACTTTCAGGTATTTTTTTTCTTTTCTTTGCATTGTTCCTGATTCTCTCCTGTGCAGCATTACCTGGCACGTGATGAAGTGGCAAGGAGGAAGAAGGGCACTTGGCTACAGGAAGCCTTTGGCTTAGCAAGTAGAAAGAAATGTTCTTCTCCAAAGTTGTTTATTTTCATGTTGGTCAAATAGGAGAAAGACAGAAGTAAATCAGTCTGTTTACTGGTTATTTCTAATAACTGATTCTATATAACTCCATTAGAGATTTTCTGCAGTTTGCACACATTTTCCTTCTGATGCTTGAGTGTATTTTCTTCAGCATAATGCATTTTTCTAAAATTCATCAGATACAGGTGTTGCTTCACTTCAGCTTATATCAAAACAAAGAATCTTTATGCTGTTCTGCTAGTTAAAACTGATTAGCATCTCTTTATTTGATGCTGCCACATTATCCTTCTGCACATCAGGTTTGGACAGAAACAAAAGTAGGATACAAGATTTAACTTCAACAACAATTTTTCTCAAAAAGCTTGCATGAATTACTGGAAAATCTTTGCTGCAATGCTAAGTGCTTTCTATTGAGCTGTACTCACAGGCTGGGAAAACTAACAGGAAGAAAAAGATATTATGAATAAATGAGATTTTGCTTAAGAATTACTGAAGATGTAAAAAGTAATCAATTAAGATATAACTGGAAATGTGACTGGATGCTTTCTATTGCAAAAGCCCTTCTGTCATGCAGATTTTTAGTATTAGATCCCTATAAAGTTTGGAGAATGAAAGTGTTTGTGATGCTGAGGTTTCATCTTAAGGTGAATTCGACAGATGAAGGGAGGGAAGTGGAATGCTTCAGTGAATGTGTCAGTGGTACAACTGACACAGGTTGTTAATCCTTCTATCTGCTTCAAGAAAAACTACTACTCTAACTTGCAATATATTGCATAAATAAATATTTCCTTTTTTGAAACCTGTGAAAGCACTTGAGCCTGTCCAGTGTTATTGGCTCAAAAAACACAGAAGAACTGGAAATAAAAAGAGATCTGTTTAATAGCTTTCTAATATAGAAAGTGCTGGCTAATCCTTATAAGAACAAGCCAGGAAGGGAAATATTATTCCTGACTCCAAGCAGAAGGAGAGGCAGAGGTTACCAAGCTCACACACAGACAGGGAGTAGGGACTGGGACAGGTATCTCTGAGATGCACATATTGAGCATTCAGTGAGGAGCCAACAAAAATCTCCCATTCCTATCCCTGCACTCTTTCTTATTATGGGTAGCAGATAAAGCAGGCCTTTGCCATTAAATCTGTTCATTTATCAACCTCTGAAAACAGTTTTCTCCTGCATTTACTTTGAGAACTCCCTTAATCCACCTCTGATACAAATTTACAGAAATAAACCTCTTTTTTTTCCCTTAAACTCATTCAGTGTTTAGAAAGCCTCTAAAACCTAAAAGCAGTTTGAAATTTAGTATCAAACTCTCCCTCACTGCTTATTAATGAACTGCAATCAACCCCTTTGTACAGAGAGCACAGAGAGCAGATAGCAGAGAGGGCAAGTCATGCCAGCAGGGCTCTTGAATTGCTCTCCAAGGAAAAGGAAGAAGAGTAGAGGCACTATAATTTTAATTATGGTTTTCTCCAGTGTTAAACTTTGCAATTTTGTTTTTAGGTCAGATAATTGGTTTGGCAGGAAGTAGTGGAATAAACAGGATGAAATCCTGTTCTGTTAAATTGCAGCTTATATAGAAAATCTGTCAGGTAAATTACTGTGTATTTTGGATGCTTCGAAGGATTAAAAGTTAGTGCTAAAAAGAAACATCTCCAGCAAAATAAATAGCTCTAGTAGAGAATAATGCAAAATGAAAAATAGAAGTAGATATTCTTTGAGATGCAGGGAAACAGGAATTCTGGAAAGATTTAGAAACCACAGTAGTATAATGAGCATATGTCATGTTATGGTGCTTTTAAAAAATCATGGGGGGCACACTGAGTAGAAAAATTTTGCAGTGAGAATGAGTCACATCATATTTGTTGCTGAAATGACTACATTAGGAATAGGATGCTTTCTTCTAGTTTTCTTCATACCTAAATCCTGTCGGTAGATTGGAGGGCCAGTCTTAATAAAGCCAACTTTTCTCGTCCTAAGATTAATATACTTTATAAAAAGCTACTTACTGATTATGGCTTACATTTGACTAATAAATTTTCACTCTGTGTCAAGACATTTTTTGTTACTGAGCATCCCTATCATGGTCAGAGCCCATCATTATAACAGAACCATTTTCCTTGGTTTTAGGACCTCTATGAATTCACCAATCAATGCAGGCAACAGCACCAGTGGCACAAAAGATCATTTCCTGATTTATAATTCATTAAGCAGAACAGACCAGCAGCTGCATTCTCTGTGTACTTGGCTGGTACAAACATCAAAGAACCAAGTGGCTTTGCTGTCAAGACACACCTACAAGTTTTTAGGCAAGAAAAACAAAGAATTATAACTGATCCCCTGGTCTAAGAAAGCCACAGTTGAAAAAAGGACAGAAAATTTAGATAGCAACATGTTGCTGATTACCAGTTCCTCTGCTGCCAGTTTTGTGTCCTTGTATCAATAGCACCTTCCACTAGAAATCATCTCCCTGATTTTGTGGTGCTGCTAATCAGCATAACTGGAGATAACAGATTTCAGTGCTTAGTTGCTTTTGTTGTAATACATGAGCACTCACCCCTCATATTTGTGGTGCTCCACCATATGCCTTGAGAATCCTTGTGCCATTTTTGCAGACTGAAAGCATGACAACTGTTTTCACATTTTCATGTTATTTCAAAGCAACTGTTTAGAAAATTCTTTATACAGAACTTCGACTCTAAGCCTTATTTCCAAATGAAAAACATCAGATTGCAATGATAGCATTCTTAATACCCAAAAGCTTAAAATACTCACAACTTTTTAAAAATTCTAAAATTTTAATTCTTAAAATATCAGTCATTTTTCCCCAATCCACGGCACATTCTGGAATGCAATGCCAAGCTCAGCACATTTTCTTTGACAAGGATCATAAAAATACTCAAAACAGTACTCAAAGCAACAGAACACAAAGATCTAAAATGTTTCCCAATTAGTTTGGGAGGCTTAGAGCTATTTTGTATCTGCTCAATATAACATTTCGACAAGAAAAAAAGACATGCATACATGGAGCTCCTGGTGTTCTGTGTAATAACTGGTGGCAAATAACTCTGAGATGCTCAACGAATTATTTAGTGCACAGCCCCTTTGCTTTGGGGGCACCCTTTTCCATTCCAAAATACCTGTGGTGGCTGCACTCTGGGGTGGGGAACAGGAGATGACCTCGGAGAACTGCAGCAGTTTCTTTCTGTGGAACAACATTCATTCTGCCCACAAGGTTTCCCATTGCTGAGCTCTTGCTACAGCTCCAGCCCTGGTTATGAAGGAAAGGAAGGAAAGGAAGGAAAATACTTGGTGGTTTGTAACAAAATTGCTGCTGCATGTGTGGTACCTGCTGAAATTTGTGTCACCCATTTGAACCTCGGCCACAAAGCTGCACTTTTTATCAAGGATATTTGTGAATATGTAACTGCTCTGAGGATACATGGCCAATAAATAATTCAAAGTATCTTCCCTGCAGTTTTCTTATCCACCTACCACCTTTTAACGTTTTGTTGGCCTGGAAACAATATTGTTTATGGCACTTCTAGTATAAAAGTGTTGCTGACTGGCAGTAGAATATTTCCAGTGTGATACCTTGAAAACAAATTGTTTCTCCCCAGTCTCCATCTGCTTTGCTCTCACCTGCCATTAGCCCAGAGAAGTTTTCTTTTGCATTTTGAGTGCCTAAAACTTAGTTTTCAATTACTGATTCCAAAATTGTTACAATGTGATTGAATTTGTTATTCCTTTTTCTCTCCTTCTCCCCCACCCCTTTGTTTCCTTTTCAGCTCTATATCCATTTACAGTCCTAAGGAGAATCCTAATGCTTTTGATGCTGCTGCTTTCTTCCAGTCAGTGGGAAATTTTCTGGGGATCTTCGCTGGATCGTTTGCCATGGGATCCTCTTATGCTGTTGTCACAGCTTTAATATCCTTTATGGTTTGTTTTCAGGGAACAAATCTATATATGTTGGGAAAAAAATGCAATATCTGAGAGTGACCATCTTTAGTTTGAGAATGAAGCTTTTCACTCTAAGCTCAAGTGTTGTAAACAGACAAATCATAAACTGACAGGAAATGTCATTTGTCAGAATCTACAAACTTCTTTTTTACATTTATCATTAGGTAGGACTCTGGCTTTTATTGTCCTATTGGTAAATAACTGTCTCTTAAGGAAAGTGTTTTAAAGTATTTTGAGGCTCAAATATGAATTTATTAAGAACAGCAACTTATTTATGAACTCCAGGCTAGCAGCAATTATACAAAAATACAAGGGAAACACTACACCGTGTCAGTGTGACCTACAAGCCCATAAGTTTAACTAAGCTAGAAATGAAAGGTCTGCCTGTTGCCCTGCATTTTTTCTTGTGTTTTACAGTTCATATAAAATGCTACTGTAGAAAGATCAGTGATTTTGATCTTTCTTGCATTCACACAAATATAAACAAATGCCAGTTTGTTTATAAAACCAGAAAAAATTACTTCCTTTTCCTTTTTTCCAGGAAAAAAGAATATCAAATGCAACCAACTAGGTACTCCACAAAAGTACTTAAAACAGCTGACTTTAAAATCTGTTCTGGATTTTCCTCTTTGAGATAAGTTAGAAGCTGTGCAGTTTTTACCAAATTCAACACGTGTAGATCAGTATGGTGGGGGAGCTTTCTTTCTTTCATCCTTTCTCAGACTGGGGGTAATTTTAGCTTACAAAACAGTTGGGTTTTCATTTTTCCTTAGTAATCTTTTAGCACTTGACAAAATTTACAAAGCTGTGTGAGTTTCCTATGTTGGAGACAGGTCTGTTTTTCCTCCTATCCTGGAGTGCCTTCTTATCAGCAGAAGCTGCTGGGCTTACAGGTAAGTGTTGCATTTAATTAAATAAAAGCTATTTTATAATACGCTTCTAGCGTGGGTAAAATACATGGTTTATTTTAGGCATGACATCATATACAAAACTTCTAAAAGCCTTTTGCTGTATTGAAGATTGTTTCATCTTTAAGAACTATTCTGTAGTGATATTGATTAGTTCTTGAAGGCAAAGACTCAAGTCCTCAGTCTTTCTTCCCTGCATTATCCCATCCCTATTAGTCCCTCTATTAATCCCCCTATTTTCTGGCCAGCTGTGGGACCAAAGATAACAGTAGGCACAAGGAAGGAAGTGGGTAGTGCCTTGTGATTACCAGACTGTGTGCTCCTCTGCACACACTCCATATCCTGGGCCTTTCTTATTTTTCTCAATTATCAATAATTGAGACCAATTATTAATAATAAACCAAGAACAGGGCCAGTGGGTTGCATCCACATTTGTACTTAGGAAAAACAGAAATCATCTTGTTCAGTGCACTTACATGTACATCTTTGGCATAGCCATGTCCCAGCAACAGGTAGAAAGACGTGTGATCAGATTGTTTTTTCAATAATGCCAGGAAAGAAATTGTACAATCACAGTCAATTATGTACCCAGGGCCTCCATTAAAGTGTACACAGAAGTTTAGGCAAAATTTGCAAATGGATGTAGTTTACCTCCACAGCAGCCTATTGTATAGTGTGATTCAAATAAACGAAGTTTCTATGACTTTGATTGTTTTAATGCTCTGGAGGTTTTCACCCTGAAATCCAGTGCTCTAATTAATGTCAGGGAAAATCAGGAGAAGAAAAATGCTTAATGGAGTGGTAATGCAGCCCATGCTGGTTTGTTTGCCAAAATTGTTCAAAGCCTTTTGATGGCAAGTTATATTTTTACTGAGTTCCCTGGAGCCAGCATGTTACTTTTTTAATATCAGCCACACAATCAAACTATTTCTGAATGGGTATTAATATCTGCATCTTTGCCTCACTAATTATACAATTTTGGATCCTGTTTACTGCCAAATTCTTCAGGCCAATCAATAAAAACAGTAGTACATGAACTGAACAAAAGGGTGGTATTTCATTATATTAAGAAAATCAGATACCAGGGGGAATGAAAGTCCATTTGGTCTCTTAGCAGCTCTGTATTGGTTTGGGCAAGGGTGGCATTAATTTTTCTCACAGTAGCTAATGTGGTGCTGGGAACAGCAATGGTAATTCAGGGATATTGCAGGAGTCACTGAGGAGCTCTCATCCAGAGCCAAGGGATTCTCTGCTCCTTACCCCACCAGCAAAGGGGCTGAGGGTGCAGGAGAAGCTGTGAGGGGACACAGCAGGAGCTGTGAGGGGACACAGCCAGCACAGCTGGTCCCAGCTGACCCATTCCAGAGCAGGAGAAGCTGGAGGAAGAAGGTTTCTCACTCTTACCCTTGTCATTCTCTCCCCCATCCCAGCCGGGAGGAGGGAGAGGGAGTGAGGAGTGAGCAGCTGTGGGGGTCTGAGCTGCCTGGGCTCTTAAAAATGTGGCACGAATAGTACAGAAAAATGGAACCAAAGGAGGATGAGTGCTGATTCCTTTCCTGCTACTGGTGCTGATTTCCTCATCCAGTGACTTCCAAGTAAGGGCAGTTTTAAAATGCATTCCTCACAGAGCAAGGATGCTATGTTTCAGCAACTGAACAACTGATTATACATTACACACAAAAAGTAGATTTGTAAAGGAAACACTAATATCTTTCAGAGCCTCAGGTGCTGCACCAAAGGTAATTTCCATTTCTCAGGCATAGGAACAGACTGTATGTCCAGACAAAAATAACTGGCATATGTCTTTTTTGCATGCTGCAAACGTGGTGATGGACAGCAAAGTCTCTCCTGGTAGTTACCCTGAAGAGTGTTTCATTGCTCTTTTCTGCTGTAATATATAAAATATCTGAAATAAAAGACTTAATTATTGAACACCACAGATGGTGGTGATAGCTGTGGTAAGGAATTTTAAATGGACAGAGGCAGAGACAGAGGAAGAGAGTGGAACCAAAGTCAAGTTTCAGTTTAAGGGCAAAAATAGAAAATTGTTGGGAAATTTAACTAATTCTTATCTAAAAAGGAACTGATGGAGGAAAGATAATTACTTCACCAACACATATATTCCAGTAAAAAGTATCAAGCATTTTTAGGTCTGTCACTAGCATTTTTTCATGAGTTCTGAGTTTCACGTGGAAATTGTTTAATTACACTGTTGTGAGAAGGCAAAGTTTAATCTTGAAACTTTCATCAGTTAAATCTTTGTCACTTAATTTTTGTAAAAGTCTTTTGTCAGAAGCTGTTATTACAGAAAAAATCATGGAGCCTTTCTTGTGGCTTAGAAGTTCAAAGCTGTGTTTTATAAATGCATTTATTTTATTAGTACTGTGCTGACATTACCCTTTAGTTGTCTGGCTTAACCAATTTTGATGTTGCTTTTGTCTTCTCTCCATTTCCTCTGAAATAGTTCAAACTCTCCTACTTTCAAAATGTTATTTTAAACTCCAAGTTCAGCAGCAAAAATACTCTGTTGGTTAAGAAATTTTCACCAGACTTTGGTTCAGCTCTGATTTCTCATACCCATGCTAAGGAAATCTGTGCCAAATGCAGATGTGCAGTCCCCACAAAGGTGGGCACACACAAAGCACCCGTTGCAGAAGGCAGGGAGAGCCCAGGAAAAACTCAGTTATGCTTCAGGACACACTCAGCTCTTAATCCTCACTCTATCATTTCCAGTCTTTTCCAGCTTTCTTCTTTTGCCCTTTGTCTGTCTCAGTGCATGCAGGTTTTGGTTTTGGTTTTGTGTCTGTCCTTAAAATCAGCTGTGAGAATCCAGCAATGGCACCACTGCATTCAGTGGACCACACTCCTGGAGTTGATATGCTTCAAAAATTAACTTGTCCATCAGACATTTATGCCTATATTCATCTTCATTTTCCTTGGATAATGTGTTTTCTCTGTTCATTCCTTCTAAATGAACTTCAAAGGATTAACACTAGACTAGTACTTCCCTGTAGCTATTAAGTAATGTAATTGAAAAATAATTTTATTCTTATAATGCTTTCCACAGCAGTCCTTCAATCACTCTGAGCTTTTTGAAGTGTAATATTGAAGTATTTCATAATTTAGAAATAATGGGCTATACTGAGTTTTTTGTGGGTAAAGTAGGTGGTAGGGCTCACATGTTTAGCTTGCAGATTTCTAAAATAAAATTTAAATGGAGAGCAGTACAGGTCAATATTTCAGAAAATATTTCATTTCTCTGCCTCAAGATATCCCATGATATATAACACACAATATATGGGCCTGACCCTGGTTGAAAAATGGATGTGATCGAACCAGCAAATCAAAATAAAAATCTGGGATGACTACACAATTATTGTTATACTGGGAACTGGAAATTATAAATTAATGTTATGGTTATTAATCTTATAGCTATATCATCAAGCTGTGACATATGCATGATAAATTGATTCTTATACAGTAGAATCTAATTTGTGCATTTTCTCATTTGCCCTGGAGTACATCATTCCTGACTGCTGAGCAAAGCTGTAATAACAGAATGCTAGAGTAAGGTCAGTGTTAATAGAGTTGTTTTCATTTTCAAACTTCATTACATAGTATTTACTAGTAGGCTATGAAAAAAACATCAATAATTTAAATTAAACACTTGTTGAAATAAATGAGGAAAGTACATCTTGCATTTATTAATTGTTTGTTATCTTGTTTTATAATTGACAAAGTTTTCTAAATTTTAAATGATCAGTCTGAGAAATGTTCCTTGATGTACATGGGTATTTAATGGTCACTTCAGTTAGACCTTCTCTATCTACAGCTGTTTGAAGTGACCAGATATTCAAAAGATATTAGTTTACCTGCAGAAATACACTCCAGCATATGTATGGGAATTGACTTGTATGTGTGTGTTCATTTGATGCATACTTCAAAGTCACACAGTGACTCAGTGTAAAGGCATCAAAATTGCAGCCAAGCTCCTCTGATTTTTACACTCTAAAGACCTGCATTATGAAGACAAAATAGACAATAGACCTTGAGGAAAAAATTGGTGGAGTGTCTTTTTTGTTCCTTTGCTGGTTTTCAGAGCCCTTTGATTTCTGATCATTATAAAGCAAAAAAGCTTGTGATAATAAATTACTGCTGGTTCCTCACCTTCAGCAATTCTTGTCTGAACATTTTGTGATGTTTCTGCCTTTGGGACACCTGCCTTCTTATTCAGGGGTTCACAGGAGAGCAGAGTCTACCTAGCAGGAAATCTTTTTCCTCCTTTTTCTCCAAAATAAATAAGCAGCATATTATGAATGAGGTACCCAGGATGAGTCCAAAGATCTGGTCTCTCACTGCAGCAATTTTGTGCTACCTTGGTATTTAGGACACAGCAAGAGTGAATGTCACCAACTTCCATTTTCTTTAATACTGCTGACAAAGTGCGTTTATCCTCATTCTGTTCATTTCTCCTATCTGTTTGCTGTGATTTGTCTAGAATCTGTCATCTACCTCATTGCTTTTTTAAAATGCTGTGACCAACTCTCAGAAGGGATCTACCAAAACGTTTCTGTCTGCAGTTCTGAGCACTGCGAGCCCAAGGCAGTTTGGTGCCTGATGGGCTTTAGTTCACTCAGCTGACATTACTCCATACAAGGAAGATATTCTGAGCTTTCAATTCTAAACTGTGTGGTTTTCTTTTCTTTATTCATTAGTAATGTGCCATGCTGTGTCATGCAGAGTAGGCAGACTCCTATCAGTAAGGAGGAAGAAGGGATACTTTGGCTTCCAAGTCAAAAGAAAAGAGACCATAACTTTTGTAAACTCTAGTCCTGCCACTCGCAGGAGCACAGGATGAAATCTAAGCCTAATTAGGAAAACAACAGGTAGGAAAAAGGCATTTGTCCTGCTGTGCACAGATGACAGCTGAGCTGGTCTGCTGCAAATCCATTACCGGAGTCAGGGCTTGGCTCTGGCTAATTTAGGGCTGCTGTAGATACAGTCTTCTAAGGCAGTAAGAAAAAAAGAGGAATGTGTATGTTTTTAGAGAAAAGTACATATTCTAGCAAGGCATTAAGCTGAGACCAAAGATCAGTTGCATAAAATGTGGATAGTGGAGTGTTATTGCTAGTGCAGAAGTTCAGGATAGAGTAAGCACTTGTAGTGTGTCCAGAATTAAAGCTGTTACGTGTCACCATAGGAGTTCCAATGTAAATTGAATCTAGTAATCCATTTGGGGTTACAAAAGTACAACACTGAAGCCCAGGTCTCACTTGAAGCAGCCGGGTGCAATACCAATGAACAGTCCTCAGATAAGGACCTAAAAAACCCCCTCAGCTCCATCTTTTGTTGCTTTCTGTCGCTTCAACATAAAATCAACCTCCAGAGATAAAAGCCTCATGAACAAAGTACGAGCTTTGGTTCTGCACTGGTGCAGGTCCTGTGTAAGAAGCCGTAAATCTTTTCTGTGGTACCAAGAAAGTGATTGGTCACACTTCATAGCCCAGGGGAAGCAGCCTGGCTCGGGGTGTTGCTGTAGGGGTGTATGGCTTTATGACTGCAGCAATTCGGGGCACACACAGCCTCACTGCTGCCACTCACACATTCAGTCTGCATCCCCAGAGATGCTGTGGGGATTCTGGCATAAATATGACTCCAAAGGAAATGTTACCTGATTTAAATGATTTCTCTCTTACCCAATCCTCATTGTTCCTTTTTTCACTCATTTCACCTCCTTTGAGGAAAGATCAGTTCCTGCTGCTTTACTGTGAGATTTCAGTATGCTGTGCTTCTTTAAAGAGGCATCCCAGAAACTCTGGAAACCTTCGAAGCTGGGATGAAATCTAGGCAGTTTGCTTACAGATCTTTTGAAATGAAACTATACTTTTTATCTATTCCTTTGCTCCCCCAGAAGGTAGTGGTTTGGTGGTTTTCTTTTTCTAAATTCTTTTTTTTGCCACCAAAAGACCTGACAGCTGGAGAAAAATGTCTGTTTTACTCTCTCAAATTAGCACATTCTTAGGTTTTGATTGTGGCCACTCACTTCCAGGTTTGCATTAAATTAACACTGCACAAGCTGCCCTTCTCTGACATTCCTTTTTGCATGTTTGTGAAATTATGTAAAAACAGATTATGTCTTTAGTGACAATATAGAGGCTATTTTCAGATTAGCACTTGTAAATTAACTAACTCCCACACTATAATTTTAAGTTTCACACCATAAGCAAAGTACTATTAAATGTCCAAGTTCCTATATAGTTGATATTTTTTATATTACTAGCTTCAACAGCCATGTCAACTACATTTATTTGTAAAAACTAATGTAAGAATAAGTTCTCTAGCTGTATTTTAACAGCTAACAAGCTGTCCCAATTTCTCTGTTACAAAAAAAATCAAATAAAATGGTAGGGCTTTATTTCTAATAAAACCTCTTCAAAGAGGTTGATCTGTAACTGAAAGTTTACCAATTATATAAGCATTTTTCTGTGAAGTGTCTCATCTTTTATATTAAGAGAAAAATTTCAGTAATCTGTTAATAAACACAAGGAGCTGTATTTCACTTAACAACTTACCACCTATTTAAACTCAAAATATTCCCTGCTTACTTTAAGTTAGCATTTTGTTCTGCAATTGTAGTACTGTCTCAGTAATTACTAATTTTGCCACTTAAAAAATTAAGGCTGTCTCCAACAGCCTGAAATTGAGGCCAAGTGAAAAGGCCACCTTGCTTTATCTGCCTCCCTGCATCTAATGGATACTTTCTGTTTACAACTCCAGTATTCCCACATTTGCTCTTACCCATTTCTCTTTGAAAGCAAGCCCACGAAAACAACCTCATTTTATGCCATACCCTGTTCATACAGTATTTTACTACCCAGCTAACCTCCAAATCCAGCCTTAACAGTGCCACAGAGAAATCCAGATGGCTTTTTCCTTGTAACCAAAGAGTTCTGAGAGTTGTGTGTTTGCCTCTTTGGGTACTTCTCTTTCCTTTTCAGTTAACATGTAATTGGTCATTACACTTAAGTAATCATTTTTATGGATATTCATTACAAGCCATTTTCTCGAAGCCTTTTAACGAACTATTCATTGTGAGAGTGCTGGCTGGTACATATTAAGCTTTCAATTGTAGCAATTGAAATATTCCACTGCATTCCCCCAGTCTTCCCTGGAAACAGGGTATCTGGTTTCTACACTTGCATAATTGCATGGTTCAGTTCATTTATTCTTATTGCAAAATCAGATTCAAGCTATTTTATTCTTCATGACACTCTCTCAGTTTTCTCACTACCCATAATTAACAGTTTCTTAGCAGTCAAAACCAGTTTATAATCACAGTTGAATTTAATAGTCAATTTTTAAAATGCAAGACTTGACATCCTGATGATTAATAGAGAAGAAACTGCATCAGAAACTCTTATCTCCATTTCAGTTACTGAGCCTGGAGCTAGTGATACTTAGCAACATTACTGTTTGGCTGTATTTTTAACTGAAATGTCATTGTTTGAACACCCCAGTGCATATCATTAATGCCTTGAGAATTTTTAAACTCCCCAGATCAGTTCTGCACAATCAAATACAGCTACTGAGAAAAAATAATTAGACACATTTATGAGAGCAATTAGACCTCACAAAAATATAAACTTGCTGGAATGGATTTAAGCTGTGACAATCTCACCACTCCCCACATTATTTACCATGAAGAAAAGTCTTAGTGTAGCTAGAAAAAAATAAATATCAAAATAATCTTAAGAAAATAAATATAAAAACAAAGACACACTAAAAGCTCAGTGGAATTTCTCTTGGCTAAAGAGTCAGTGTTCTGTAGAAGCAGTACAGGTAAATTTACAATATAAAGAGAACCCAGAAGCAATCAAAATGTCCACAGTGGTTTATGGGGAAAAACGTGTTTGTTTCCTTGTTTTCTCTCTAATGACAGTTGTCCCTTGTGCCAAATCAAATCAGAAGTATTTACTCCATACTGTTTTCTTCTATCAAAGCCATCTTAATGCCAGGCCTCAGTTCTTCCCAGAAAAAAAGAGGGGCTTGCAAGGAAATTGGATTTTTTTGGCCAATATTTTCTTGGTTAGCAACATAAGGAGAGCCTAAAGAAAGACATAGTAAGGTAGTGATTAATTTAACTGGTATGTGAGAATTCATCGATCCCACAGACACAATCTGTGAATGAAATAGTTTCAGCATTGTCTAAATTATTACTTTGATTTGTTTCCTTATCTGTGCTGTGGTTCAGGGCACGAGGATATTTCACCTGCCTCAAGGGCCCTCTTGCTGTTAAAATTCCAACATTTAGAGATTTGGATAAACCTGTTAAAGAACCTGTTGAGGCACCAGTGCTGGAGGCAACTAACACTTGTTCAGTTTGCTTCTATCCATTTTTCCTGGGACTCTGAAACCTGGCCTGCTCCCACTAATGCTTTGGAAGTACAGATTGTTTGTATTGGTTTGCTGTGCTAAAGGTGCAGATTCTGCCCCTGTGCTGAGCCCCTTCTTGCTGGCCCCATAAAGCCAGGAGAGTCACTGCCCTGGAGGAGATGGAGGGAGCTTTATCCAGGTTCCAGCCCAGGACTGGAGGAGCAGACTGAGATTCTTTTCACCATCCCACCTCATGCTCTTTTTGCTTCCAGCGGAACTGGTTTATATGTTTCAGTTCATGCTTGTTTAACCCCATAAATGCCTAGAGAGCTGTAGCACAATCACATCACAAGGATGAATAGTGCCTAAACCTGGACAGGCACCTTTCTGCTTGCTTTGTTGCCTCAGACTCATCAGTATAATGTCAGTACACGTGAGCAGCCTGTGAGCTGAAAATCACCCAGCCCATGAGGAAGCAGAACTAAAAGGCTAATTAGGGCATGCTACAGCTCCTGCACAGCAGGCAGTGAGGGCAAGGGCTGAAAGGCACAAGGACTAAAGCACTGTGGGGTGGGTGGTGGAAAATGGTGCCAGGCACACAGAACTCCCACTGCTGGCTGGCTCTGTGCTCAGCCCACCCCTGTGTGCAGGGTTTCAGGGAATGAGGAGCACAATGGACACGAGAAAGCCCTGAGCCGTTCTGTAATTAATTTTCTATGTACACATGCCCCAAGTTTAAGAAAAAAACCAGAGCTTTCTTCCTCCGTGGGCATTTACATATGGTTACTGGTGGATGCTATTTTTGGTTTTCTGTTTTCTCCCTGTGTGCATTCCTCCTGTATTACCTGTGTCCAGACCTCACAGTCTTATCAGCTACTTTAACTGCAATACTTCATTACAGTGATGTTACTCTGTGATTCCAGTGATTTAGGACCAGGGCCGAGGAAGTATTGAAAAAATATCCCTATAAAACAAATTTGTTATAATTATTCCTGACAATCCTGCTTCCCTGCCCCTCCAGACCTTCCATGAGCTGGGACTGTGACTGCTGCCATGTGTCTACAGTCACTGCCCTGCTTGTTCTGGGCAGCACAGCTCACACCTACCAGAGCATCACTTCTAAGCAATGTGTTTTGTTCACCTTGACACTGTTACACACTGCTTGTGATAAGCTACAATCAGGCACAGACTGAAATTATTTTACCCCATTGCTGTCATTCAGTGCCAAGTGGTCTCAAACCATTTAAATGTAACAGAATTATTTTTTCCTTTCCTATTCAGTCCCTGCCAAATGTTTTTAAATAGTCCAAATTCCTACATATTACGATTATGTTAGTTCTACACTTACAATTACTGTGAGATTATGGTTGGATCATACCATGTATTAACTGAAATAAATTTTCTACAGCCTTTCCAAATACACAGCAGTGGAAATACTATGAAAGCATGATTGTCCTTAGAACACATATCTCAAATTTCTTTTGTTATAAAAAGCTATTAACAGACTAATTTGCTTTTCTATGCAGCCTACTGCAAGCCTAAGTAAAAAAACAGAAGCAGCTAACTCTGTTTTTTCTTTGAATTTCAGGTATTGTTGCTGTGCTTTTCTGTGGAGTCACACAGGCCCATTACACCTACAACAATCTGTCACCAGATTCCAAAATGAGAACTAAACAGGTAGGACATGGAAATAACTGACTTGGTGTGTTACACTGCTGTAAGGATTTACAGTTACTGGGATACAGCTGGATGCGATTTCATTAATGCAAAGTACGAGGTTTCTGTCTTCATCAGAGGAAAGACTGGAGATTTTGCCAGGAAAACAGTAACAATTACCAGGATAAGCAAAAAATATAAGAACATATTCTGTTTTTCCCAAGAGACCTGAAATGTCAGACAGGTATGGAGATAACATCTTACACCAACTTCCATACAAAAATGCTTCAAAATGAAGGAAATCAAAGAGCTCTAGTAAGTAAGAGAGAAGTGGTCTGAAAGATTGGATCCCTGTAGATTTTTGCAAAGGCCTTGTATAAACTGCAGTCTGGCCCACAGATTTAAGCAATGGCATCATTTAATTTCTGTTTCATTAAAAAATTGTCATAATTACAAAGATAGAGGGTTTTTTTCCCGTTGTGTTATTTAGAGTTTAGATATGTGAAATTTGATCATCTGGGTTTTGTCTGAACAAGTGACTAGTACAATTGTAATTATTTTCTAAAACTTAGGGCTATTCTCAGATCTGTGACATTGCAGTGTTCAAAACACTTTTCAGCACGAGTAATTTTAGACAACCCTGCCACCACCTAGATCCTGTAAGAAGTCATTTAAATGCAGTTTTCATCCCTTTTAACTTTGACTCATATGTCCCAAGAACCCCAGACTGTAGGAAATCTATCTCCTAGAGCAAAATGGAAACTTATGGCCCAATACTATGATTTTCATGATGCAGTCTCATACCTTTTTCAGCAATTCCTTTCTTTTAAGCATTGGGAATTTTACGTAGAAAAATTCATCACTGCTTGCACATCTCAATTTAATCAAAAATCCAATTTTCTATCAAAAACAACTTGATAGAAAAAAATACCGGCCACAGTATCAATTCAACTGTTAGAGTCTCACAGATTCTAAATCACAAAAAAGTTTCTGGTCAGTACTCCCATGATAAAGTGTCAGCTATTGAACAGGATAAGTCTTTTCAATTGTATTTCTACTATAGCAGTAGAGGCTGGTGCTTTCAGAAAGTCTCCCAGCAGAGAACTAACCTTTCTCTGATAACTGCATTGTAAGGAATGACATTGAAATCTACTATAGAATGGTTTCTGTTTTGCAGAAAGGCTGCATTACGTATGCCATTACTCCTCTTGCATATAACTTACAATTTAAATAGAAGGTTTTTCAGGGATTCATCTGTGTATTTTAGTGATGCATATTCTCAGAGAGAGACAGAAAACGCCAAGGTTGTGATATTTTAAATTACCTATGAAGCTTTTCAGCTGCAGAATTAACTAATATTTTGTTTAAATGCATCCTGCTTTTGTTCATGTTTACTTTGTTATTCCCTTCTATTCAACAAGTGCAAAGCAAAATAGTGAAAATAAACCAAATTTACCCTTGAACACACACAGAAAAGGATTATGTGTTTCTCTATGGAGCTATGAGTTTCATGCACACTTTCCTATTCTGTTTTTCTCTTCCCCATAAGCCCTTAATCCTCAGCCTCCTTTAAGATATGGTTCAAACATTGTTGTTGAATTCCTTTGAATTCTTCTAATTTATTTTCTAATCCAAATATTACCCTTTCATATGCAGCTGTTTCAGTGAGACCTGCACTGCCTCTTTCTTTCTCTCCCAAGAATTCTCTTCAAGCAAATTTAATAAGCCACACACTTGGCATTCTCATAATCATATAGAACTTCAGTGCATCTTCAATGAATATTGTTGCTCAGATAGTTGGCTTTGCTCCCAATCTAAGTCATTTTTATTACTCATTACTGGCCAAAATCAAGGGCTTTTCAGTTCTTTTATATAATTATTCCAAAGCAGTCTCTCTCTTTTGTTACAATATGACAGATCTTTCAGAAAGGAGTGCTGAACTGTAATGAGCACTGACAAAACAGTGAGTTAAGGCTGAAGCTGAAGCTAACAAAAACCATGGAAATTAGATGTAAAATTGTAAATCAGATTGCAAAATTGTGTTAGCTGTTTTTAAACATACTTTTTCTTTACTGCTTTGCATAATTTTCTTTGCATTTTTTACGTGCTTTTAAAATTTTATAGCTTGATGGTAAAATCCAGTATACAGTGATAGAGAAGGTATTTCTAACCCTAGTGCCAAGTTCTGCATTTCCCATAATACATCATCCTTTGCTCAAAAAAAAATTAAAAGTTTCTCTTCAGACACTATTGTAAAATGAGAACTTTTCTACATTTCTTAGAAGAGAATTTAAGAACATCTATTAAAAAGGCCTGCTAAAAGATGCCATGTAATTATTAGTCCCCATATATCCTTTATTATTCTGTCAATCACTCTTTAAGATTCCATGAAAGTGAAATATGAATTTCAAGCATCTGAAACTTACAGAATCTGAGACAATAAAGCGATACTAATCTTTTGATAAATAAATGAATTATTTTAACACTCTTATAAGGAAAGTAAGATAATAAAAATTTAGTGAAAATGGACGCTTTAGTTTTAATTCAATTATCCCAATTTCCGTTAAGTATTTATAAACATTCTGTTTATTCTGTGTTTTTACTGTCATTTTTTTTAACATGGCTGATGTTTTATGGCAGTAATTTTAAGTCATCGTCATTGACCTGACAACAGCCATCATGATTTTAACAGTGAGATTGACCCTGCCCTCCATGGCAACAAGGTTAGGTCTAACAGAGTGCTCCTGAATTTCAGCCACTTAAAGTTTAATTTATCCAATGTATCTTTAGCGAAGGAGAAGATGAAACTGCAGGGGTCTGATCGAAAGCTATTTGATTCTGAGCAGCTTTCTCCAGAATTATTTACAGCTGCTCTCTCCCCTCACGTTATGCTGCAGCCACACACTTGCTTCTAAATCTTGGGACGTTACAGCTCAGATTTTACATTAGGCTTCAGATGTACAGCTGGGATGGGTTGATTTGCTCTGCTACAAGTAAGTCAGAGCTTGGACAGGGTGTTTGTTGTGAGATAAATAGAAATCCCTGCTTTGTTAAAAGTGGACAGAGTGGAAATCCCTACAGGTTACCTCTAGAAAAGGATTCATGGATAATATTGTGTTTTCTACAGGAAGATGACATTCCTCACGCTGTTTTTCTCTCTGCCCTCTATCACTTTCACTCAAATGCCAAGCTAAGACCAGCACATTTTCCTAGTGGTGGAGCACTGACTAATGGCCATAAATATTATCCATCATGTTTAGGAGTTGTATCTTTTCTGGTTATGCTCCTTTAACTCTGGGAAACAACTGCAACAACAAGAGTGGGGCAGGGCAATACCTCTCCTTGGTTAAGTGTGCAAGGGGATGGAGAATTCACTTTGCAGACAAAATCGTGTCAGCAAGTTATAAATTCTGGAAAGGGAGTTCTGAAATGCATCACCTATGGAAGAAGAGCCAGGGAATTACAAACAGACACAGGAAAGCATGTCCAGCCAACAAGGGAATATGTCACACACTGCCCTGCCTGTCTCCCTTCATTCCCCAGTCTAAGCCTTGTTCTCATGGTCACCTCTGAAGCAGGTGTGTCTGACTGATGGTGAAGGTTGCTTTCTCAGATTCAGTGTAGTGCCTTTCTAATCACATCAGGAGTTAAACTGTTACTCACCTGTTTTGTTGCTCCTGATAGCAAACCCATTAAGGGAACAAGCTGCCTTAGAGATAAGAGCTCCTGGCCTGATTGTTCAGCTGCACCGGGTGTGCTGTGTGCACAAGATTCCAAGTTAAGATTTCAGTGGCCCTTCACCTCCAAGGTTTAACACAGGCAGGAGAATGAGGTAAAGACACGCCAAGAGAGCTCAGTGCTGCTGAACTTCTGGATGACTTTAGCCAGACATGCAGTCTCACTCGGAGGCTTAAGCAGATCAGTCTGCACTGAAGGACTGAAAGTTCAGACAGGTCTTGGGCTTTGCTCACTGATGGACAGAGAACTGATTGCTTCAGATTTTAATCTCCCCACTATAAAGCAGGCATGATTATCTCTCATTAATAAAAGTCATCACTTTGCAGGAGAGCAGCTAATATTTCCTGGAAATCCCTGGAAAATACATGAAAAACGTCCCTAGCTCATTGATGATGCAGCTATATGTCTTCCAACAAGGACACTGGCAAGGGATCAATCAGCTGACTGTTGGATCAGAAACTAAGCTGCATTCCAAAGACACTTTGGTGTAAAAGGATTGTGTTTATCAGCATATCAATTTAATTCTAATTAATCACATTAATCAAAATAGGTTGAAAAAAGTAAAAAAAAAAAATTTTTTAATTTCTCAAAACCTGCAAATCAAATCATTGTAGCTCCCTGATTCTAATATGTTATAGTATAGTCTCAATATAGACTTAGAATAATAGAATCATTGAGGTAGGAAAAGATCTCCAAGGCCATCAAGTCCAATCATCAAGTGAATACCACCATGCCACATCTCATTTTTGAACACTTCCAGAGATGGAAATTCCACCACTTCCCTGGGGAGCTGTTCCACCCATGATTAGGGACTCACTTTAGAAGCAAAGAGTAAACGTAAAGTATGGCAGTGGAGATGTCCGAATTAACTGAAAGGGGAAAAGAAATCAATTAATCAAAGGAGTGTTACCTGAATGCCAACAATGTTTACTAAAAAGAGCATTGCAGGACTAAAGGCAGAGAGGTGACTGAAGCCACTGTATCCAAATGAAGCACCATCACTGAGATCTTAACATTCTACTGCTTTTCTGCTGGCCCATGTGTCTTGTAAACCAGTTACAAGCAGAGCTAGAGCCAGCACTGCAACAACAAATCTCCTTTCTCCAGATACATGATACTGTCTTACAGGATTCTCCCATCAGCTGTCTTTTGATAAGAAAATAAATAACGCACTGCAAATTCTGCTTTAGTAGCAGAATGATTTCTCCTGAGTTTGTTGTTAAAAGCTCATGCCAGGAACTGCAGCTACTGCTGTTATCTTTCTGTAAGAGGAGGAGAGAATC